GGGGGCGGCAGCAACTCCGGCGCGGCTTGAGGCTTCTCCACGGCCCCTCCGATGGACTGAGGGGCCGGGCAGCAGCTCCGGCGCGGCTTGGGCTTCTCCACGTCCCCTCCCGAAGGAATGAGGGGCCGGGCAGCCGCGGATCGCCGGGCTTCTTCCCTCCCGGGTGGAGGGGAGGGGGCGGCAGCAACTCTGGCGTGGCTTGAGGCTTCTCCGCGGCCCCTCCGATGGGCTGAGGGGCCGGGCAGCCGCGGGTCGCCGGTCTTCTTCCCTCCCGGATGGGGGAGGGGGCGGCAGCAGCTCCGGCGCGGCTTGAGGCTTCTCCGCGGCCCCTCCCGATGGAGCTGAGGGGCCGGGCAGCCGCGGATCGCCGGTCTCCTTCCCTCCCAGATGGAGGGAGGGGGCGGCAGCAGCTCCGGCGCGGCTTGAGGCTTCTCCGCGGCCCCTCCCGATGGAGCTGAGGGGCCGGGCAGCCGCGGATCGCCGGTCTCCTTCCCTCCCAGATGGAAGGGGGGGGCGATAGCTGCTCCGGTGCGGCTTGGCGCTCCTCCGGCCCCTGCAGATGGTTTACGAGGCCGGGTAGGCCGCGGCTTTTCTTTGCCCTCTCCCGGATGGCAATGGAGGGCGGCGCGGCCTAGCGCTCTTCCACAGGCCTTCCTGGTGGTCGGAGGCCCACTCCGCTAAACGGTGCCCACAGCAGAAATGGTAGGTTGGTCCGATGCCCTGCACAATCAGGAAGCTTTCTCATCAGAAAATGCAGCAGGAAAGAAGCTGGGGGCTGAGGATTCCAGCTGATTATGATTTGGACCCGCCGATGTTACTCGGGTCGCTGTTGCTTCGTCGCCATCTTGGAAAAAAAAAAAAAAAAAAAAGGTGGGGTGGGGGGAGATTGATGTTGTCATTTGGGAGTTGTAGTTGCTGGGATTTATAGTTCGCCTAGAATCAAAGAGCATTCTGAACTCCACCAACGAAGGAATTGAATCAGACCTGGCCATACAGAACTCCCATGACCAACAGAAAATGCCAGAAGGCTTGCTGGGCACTGACCTTGAGTTTGGGAGTTGTAGTTCACCTACATCCAGAGAGCACTGTGGACTCAAACAAAGATGGATCTGGACCAAACTTGGCACGAATACTCAATATGCCCAAATGTGAACACTGGTGGAGTTTGGGGAAAATATACCTTGACATTTGGGAGTTGTAGTTGCTGGGATTTATAGTTCACCTACAATCAAGGAGCATTCTGAACCCCACCAATGATGGAATTGGGCCAAACTTCCCACACAGAACCCCAATGAACAACAGAAAATATTGTATATTCTGATGGTCTTTGGGGACCCCTCTGACACCCCCTCGCGACCCCCCCAGGGGTCCCAACCCTCAGGTTGAGAAACACTGCTCTATAATATTCTGCTGCTCACAGGCCTTGGCTGGAGATGAAACCGGCCCTGCCCTCCCCACCGCAGGTTTAAATATATTCCGCCATTCAGCAGAGAGAGCAGCGTTCGTTCCAAGAGCCTCTCCTGCTTCCAACTGCAAGGACCCTTCTGTCCCCAAAGGAGCCGGGGAGCGTTGTGTCTGCGAGGGAGGGGAAACGGGGAAAGGGAGGGGCGGGCAGGCCTTGGCCAAAGGAGAGGAAAGGCCGGCCGGCCGCCCGATGCCTCCTCTGCGGATCCCGACTGTTGCGCTACTGTTGTGGCAAAAGGAGAAGAGCGGCGCCAGGGAGGACCAAGTGCCAGCTTTGGCCAAAGAAAAGACACACAGAGAGAGGTTTCGGTTTGTACAGTTGCATAGTTTCCTGTTGAAGGCTTTCATCACTGTGTCAACACTTTGGCTGGACCCAAAGGAACATTGGCTCCAATATAGCACACGTGGCCCTCCTGCAGTGAATTGGGCTCATGCGCCACCGTGATGATAGTCCTCCTCTCAGGCAGGCGTAGGGGGTTTCCCTTCCCCAATTAGAGAGGGGGGGCATGGGGTGCCTGAGACCCCACGAGGGAGATAAGCAAACCCTTTGGCCTCCCTCCCGCCCTCCCACCATAGGGGCCCCCTATTCCCTCCGACTAGCCCTGAGGCACGGAGCCATGGATTCAAATGGCAGGAAAAGGGATTCATCCTGAATCAGAGAGAACTTCCTAATGGTTAGAGCTGTTACACCATGGAGAAATCCCACCTCAGAGTCCGGTGGAACCTCCTTCTCTAGGAGTCTGGGTGGCCATCAATCTGGAGGGCTTTGATGACAAGTCCCTACCCAGCAGAAGATGGGGGGCGGGACTGGGTGACCCTAAGGGTATCTTCCAGCTCTGGGAGTCTCAAGTTCTAAGGCTGGCCCTTTGAGGCAGTAGCAACATCTTGGGTTCCACCTCACCTGGGGCATCTCTCCTAAACTGGGTCTGGGAGTGGGGAGGGAGGGGGCTTCCAAGAGAGGGGACTATTCTGTGTTGGAGGTGGTCAAGTGACCACTTGTCAGGAATGCTATTGTGGCTGTGGGTGGTCTAGATGACCCCTGGGGTCTCCTCCAGACCCCTGTGATGGAGGAAAGAAGTCCTTTTCTTGCCCCATGAGTGCACCCACTGCCCTCTGTCCTGCAAGTCCTTGTGCAGATGCCAGGGCAATGCACAGAACAGCCCCCTCCCCAGCTGATGCTCTGGAGAAGGGCATCCCAGGCTTCCTTTCCCCTTTACTGGGCTGCAGTCCTTCCAAAAAGCATGAAAGATGGGGGCACCCAAGAGCCCCTCGTACAGCCAGTCGGTGCCTCGGTCCATTAGTGCTTCTGCTGAAGGCTGAAACCCCCTCCCCAAAGATAGGCTTCACTCCAAGGGCATTGGTCAGCAGTCATTCAGAGGGGGATTCTTCTCTACAGAGGTCAGCCATGGAAACTCCTCTGGCATGGAAACCATTTAAACTGGGTTGTATTTCCTTGTCTGTAGAATGCAGTGGGATTTGTGGTCTCTTGCTTCCAATTCCATAGTTGTGTGATTCAAAGCCTCCCAGGCACCGGCCTGCAAGATATGTCCAGAAGAACACAGAAGAGCTGTGCATGGGGAGAGAATCTGCAGCCACGTACACCCCACATACGTCCCAGATTTGCCCATGGCAGCAGGACAGGTGGCAGGGTTGGTGCCCACTGAGTCCAGGTGGGTCAGTTCCTGCAAGAAGGGATGCAAACAGAGAGGGATTCCCCTGCCACCAATGTCAAATGAGTCTCGGAGAGCTCCTCTGGACCTTGTTTACACTTTGGCGTGGCCAGAGTCCTTCTTTTGGTATCCGTAGTAGGCCATTCCAGCCAGGGAGCCCAGGAGCAAGGCGCAGCCCACCATGATGCAAGTGACCACCACCCCAGTCTGGGTGCGGGTCAGGCCCCAAATGCCCCCCTCAGCCTCCGAAGGGCCAGGGCTGCCAGAGCTGCCAGGGCTGGGGGGCTCTATGGATGGTCCCAGGGTCTCTGACTCGGAGGAGGAGTCTGCGCTGCCAGGCTCACTGTCCAAAGAGGGCTGGAGGTGGACGGGCGCCAGCGTGGTCTCCGGTTGGCCCTCCCAAGAAGGGCTCTTAGTCTGGCCCGAGGTGGGGGTCCACCCCTCTGTGATCTCAGTGACCTCAGTGACCTCAGGGCCAAAGAGGGCTTCCCCTGCCTCCCAAAGGGGCTGGCCCTCCACCTGAGGGGGGGAGGCACAGAGCGGTGGGCTGCCCCCAAGGAGGGCCCTATTCCTCCGCATCCAAGTGTGCAGGCCCCAGATTTCGCCATCGCAGCACCATGGGTTGTCGTGAAGCTTGACCTCATGCAGGTGGGGCAGCCGGTCAAAGAGGCCCCCAGGGAGGGTCTGCAGGGAGTTGTTCTGCAGCTGGATGGTCATCAGGGCAGGGTTGTGGCGGAAGAGGCCCCCCGGCAGGGACTCAATCTGGTTGTTCTGCAGTGAGATGTTCTGCAGCTTGTCCAGCCCCTGGAAGGTCTCCGCGTCCAGCGAGGGCAGCTGGTTGGTGTGGAGAGAGACCTCCAGGAGGCTGCCCAGGCCGGCCAGTGCAGAGGGAGCAATGGAGCGCAGCCGGTTGCGGCTCAGGACCAGGAGCTGCAGCTGGGTCAGGTTGGCCAAGGCCTGGCCGTGGAGGGCGGTCAGCTGGTTGTCGTAGAGCCAGAGCTCCCTCAGGCTGGGCATCGGGCCAAAGATCCCTGGAGGCAGCTCCCGCAGCACGTTGCCGAACAAGGAGAGGCGGGAGAGCTCCGGCAGGTCCAGGAGCAGCCCCTCTGGGAGGACCTCGATCCGGTTGTGGGAGAGGAAGAGCTTCTGGAGCTTGCGGTTCTGGGAAAAGAGCCCCGAGGGCAGCTGTCGGAGGCGGTTCTGGTGCAGACCCAGCTCCTGCAGCTCGGCCAGGGTCTCAAAGGCCCGGGGTGGCACCTCGGCCAGCTGGTTCTCGTAGAGGCGCAAGACCTGGAGCCGCCGCAGCTGCGCAAAGAGCCGGGGCGGGAGGCGGGCCAGACGGTTCTTGCCCAGGTTGAGCCGGGTCAGGGAGGCCAGCTGGTTGAAGGTGCCTGGGTGCACGGCCTGCAGCTGGTTGCCCTGCAGCTGGAGCTCCTTGAGGTGGGCCAGCTGGGTGAAGTGGGCCGGGTGCAGGCGCTGGAGCTGGTTCCCCGAGAGCAGCAGGGACTCCAGGCGGCCCAGGCTCTGGAAGGCCTCCAAGGGCAGCTCCCGGATGCGGTTGCTGGCCAGGCTCAGGTAGCGCAGGGAGGACAGGTGCTGGAAGGCCCCCGGGCTCAGCCGCCACAGGCTGTTCTTCTCCATCCGCACCGCGATCAGCGCCGAGGCGTTCCCGAAGGCAGCCTCCCCCAGCTCTGCCACCTGCGTGTTCACCACCTGCAGGCTCATGGCGTCGCTCGGCAGCGGGAGCGGCATCTCCGTGACGCTGGGGCCAGAGCACTCCACCTGGGCCGAGCGGGAGCAGGAACACTGCGCTGGGCACTGGGCCCCAGCCAGGTCGAGTAGGAGAGCCATGGACCCCACCAGGAGGGGCAGGAGGACCACCGGGCAGCTCGGGCGGAAGCGGCACAGGTCCATGGGGCCTGTGGGAGGAAACAAACAAACACGGGCATTGAAACAGGGCATGCAGGTAGAGGGCGTGCTGACCCAATTTGCAAATGGATACCCTAGAACAGTGGTTCTCAGCCTTCCTAATGCCGTGACCCCTGAATCCAGTCCCTCCTGTGGTGGTGACCCCCAACCATAACATTGTTTTTGTTGCTACTTCATCACAGTCATTTTCCTACTGTTATAAATCATAATGTAAATATCAGATATGCAAGATGTATTTTCATTCACTGCACCAAACTGGGCACAAATACCCACATGTAAATGCTAGTGGGGTTGGGGGAGGATTGATTTTGTAATTTGGGAGTTGTAGTTGCTGGGATGTATAGTTCACCTATGATCAAAGAGCATTCTGAACTCCACCAGCGATGGATTTGAACCTAATTTGCCACACAGAACTGCCACGCCCAACGGAAAACACTGGAAGGGTTTGGTGGGTATTGACCTTGAGTTTGGGAGTTGTAGTTCACCTATATCCAGAGAGCACTGTGGACTTACACAATGGTGGATCTGGACCAAACTTGGCACAAATACTCAATATGCGCAAATGTGAACACTGGTGGAGCCTGGGGAAAATAGACCTTGGGAGTTGGAGTTGCTGGGATTTATAGTTCATTACAATCAAAGAACATTCTGAACTCCACCGTTGATAAAATTGGCTCAAACTTCCTACATGGAATCCCCATGACCATCAGAAAATACTGTGTTTTGTGAGGGTCTTTGGCGACCCCTTCGGGACCCCCTGAGGGGGTCCCGACCCCCAGGTTGAGAAACACTGCCCTAGAAGGTCATGACAGCCACATGACCTTGGAGGCGTCTACAGACACGCCAGCTATTTGGCTTAGAAATGGAGCTGCATATCACCACCCAGGGTCAGACTCGACTAGACTTAGTGTCAGGGGGAAACCTTTACATTTTTTAGCCCCAGAAGACAAAATGACCTCAATGGGCTAGAGCCAACTAGAGGCATGGGCCAATTTTGGCCCTCCAGGTGTTTTGGACTTCAGCTCCCACAATCTCAGGGAAGGCTGAGAGAAGAGGACATGATAGTCATGTTTCGATATTTGAATGGCTGCCTTACTGAGGAGGGAATCGGCTTGTTTTCAACTCCTCCAGAGGTTGGGACACATTGGAGAAGTGGATTCAAATTGCAAGAAAAGTGATGCCACCGGGACCGTGAGCTGCATTAAGATCACTACTGACCGAAAGGTCATGAGTTCAAAGCCAGCCCGGGTCGGAGTGAGTGTCTGACCAATTTGTGTAGCTTGCAGTCGATCTTTGCAGCCTGAAAGACAGTTGCATCTGTCAAGTAGGAAATTTAGGTACTGCTTATGTGGGGTGGCTAATTTAATTAACTAATTTACGATGCCATAAAAATCTCCAACACACCTGCAAAGACTGAGGAAGTACTTCATCAGTGTCACGAATGGACGGTGAAGCAACAGCTCCCCTGGTGGCCAGAATGCCCTCATGAAAAGCTGGAATGTTAAATAGCCTCTGAGTGTCTGTCTATATATGTTGTGTGTCTATGGCATGGAATGTTTGCCATACATTGTAATCTGCCCTGAGTCCCCTGCTGGGTGAGAAGAGCAGAATATAAATACTGCAAATAAATAAATAAATAAATAAATAAACAAACAAACAAACATTAGGAAAAACTTCCTGATACTAAGAATTTTTCAAAAGAGGAATCCACGGCTGAGTCTTCTCAATGTTTTTAAACAGAGGCTGGATGGCTGTCTTGTTGGGAGGGCCTGCCTTGTGTCTTCCTGCATAGCAGAAGCGGGGTGGACTGGATGGCCTCTCGGGGTCTATGAAAAGGAGAGCTTACCCTCCTGCTTAACCCTCTGTGTCCCCACCCTTAAAATGTCCCAGGTGGCTCTGAATTCCCCTCCCCTGAACTAGAAGCTGGGAAAAGTGGGTGGGTGGGGGGTCATCCCTGGGCCACATCTTCCAGTATCGTCATGGAATCCTAGAGTTGGAAGAGACCTGGTGGGCCACCCAGTCCAACCCCTTTCTGCCACGAAGCAGGAGAATTGCATTCAGAGCACACCCAGCAGATGACCATCCAGCCTCTGCTTCAAAGAACCTTCACCACACTTCCTCTGGCGCAGAGGGTTGGTGGACTTGGGCTCTAATGGCGTCAAAGCACAAGGAAGGTGATCCCACTTAAAGGAAGACCCTCTTGGTGTCCCACCCGCCTATAGCGTCGCATGAGACATTGCCTTTGCAGCAGGGAATGGCCAGTTTTGTTCCTTCTCCAGAAAACACCACGTAATACAAGTGGGGGAGGGGGGGGTCTGTTCCTGGTTTGAAAGTGTGGCTTCCTGTTGAATTGTGCAGTCCTTCCCTTGAAAGTAGTTGCTCTCCTCCAGAAACTTCATTTTTGTGGCTGCCACTGAGTATTTTGAATTGGTTAAGGCTCAATGAGATATTTATTGGGAAACCAGAGCAGAACGTGCTGCCGGAGGATGATGTCCCTCCCGCAAAGACGAGGGTTTGGCAGTTAATGCAGTTTCCCCATGTTTTTGTGATAGAACCAATTAGGAAGTGACATTCATAACTCAAGAATAAACATCGTGTTACATCGTGTAATAGAAGGGGAGAAGCTGTGCAGATGTGCCATTTCTCCCTCGACCGTGCTTCCTGCCACTGACATCTGAGCCTTTTGGAGCCCCACCGGCCACACCCCACGTCGTGGCAGACAGCTGGCCTGCTGCGCTTCTACAAGGCTCTCCACCAACTGAGCCCCAGAAACACTCTGGTTGGTGTGTTTGTGCGAGAGAAGAAGAGAGGCCCACTGGCAAGGACCAGGCAGAGAGGAGTGAGAGGGACTGTCGTGTCTCACATAGAATCCTAGAGGTGGAAGAGACCTGGTGGGCCATCAATTGAAGAGAGATATTGACTCTAAGCTGGAATGTGTCCAGAGGAGGGTGACTAAAATGATCAAGGGTCTGGAGAACAAGCCCTATGAGGAGCGGCTTAAGGAGCTGGGCATGTTTAGCCTGAAGAAGAGAAGGATGAGAGGAGATATGATGAGGGCCATGTATAAATATGTGAGAGGAAGCCTCAGGGAGGAGGAGGGAGCAAGCTTGTTTTCTGCTTCCTTGGAGACTAGGACCAAGGGAACAATGGCTTCAAACTACAAGAGAGGAGATTCCATCTGAACATGAGGAAGAACTTCCTGGCTGTGAGAGCCGTTCAGCAGTGGAACTCTCTGTCCCAGAGCATGGTGGAGGCTCCTTCTTTGGAAGCTTTTAAACAGAGGCTGGATGGCAATCTGTCAGGGGTGCTTTGAAGGCAATTTTCCTGCTTCTTGGCAGGATGGGGTTGGACTGGATGATGGCCCAGGAGGTCTCTTTCAATTCTTTGATTCTAGGATTCTATTTGATTCTATCATCCAGTCCAACCCCATTCTGCCAAGAAGCAGGAAAATTGCCTTCAAAGCACCCCCAACTGATAGCCACCCAGCTTCTGCTTAAAAGCCTCCAAAGAAGGAGCCTCCATCACACTCTCTCCGGAGCAGAGAGTTCCACTGCTGAACAGCCCTCTCACACAGTCAAGAAGTTCTTCCTCATCTTCAGGTAGAATCTCCTTTCGTAGGGTTTAAAGCCATTGCTCCATTGCGTCCTAGTCTCCAGGGCAGCAGAAAACAAGCTGGTCCCTCCTCTCTATGACTTCCCCTAACCTCTTGAACCCTGGTCCTCATTCTGTCTCCTCTCAGCCTTCTCTTCTTCAGGCTAAACATGCCCAGCTCCTGAAGCCACTCCTCACAGGGCTTGTTCTCCAGACTCTTGGATCCCTTGAGTCTCCCTCTTCCTCTGGACACATTCCACCTTAGAGTCAACATCTCCCTTCAATTGTGGTGCCCAGAATTGGACGCAGCTGTGTGACTCCAGCTGTGGTGTGACACAGTATTCTTCTCCCTCTCTGGAGCAGCGGAAAATAAATGGGGCACCTCCTCCAAGGGACACCCTTTCCAATGTCAACACCTGGCTCTCGTGTCCCCTTCTCTCCACCTTCTCTCCTCCAAGCTCCACACCCCCAGCTCCCTAAGGAATTCCTCATGAGGAGTCATGGCTTCCAGAGCTTTGATGGTTTTGGAGGCCCTTCCTTGGCCCCCTCCCATCCTGCCCACCTCCTCCTTGCAACTGCTTTGCCTAGAACTGGACTCAGGGCTGTGGTTCCAGGTGAAGAGGTCTGGCCAAAGCAGAAGAAGGAAGTCGGACAAGGCCAGGACTTTCCCGAAGGAACTCCTCTTGATGCAGCCCAGAATCACACTCCTGCCTCACCCTATGGGCTCCTGCCCCACTTGTGTTCTCCCAAGCCTCCTCCATCCCTTTTGTAGAATCATAGAATCAAAGAGTTGGAAGAGCCATCCAGTCCAACCTCATTCTGCCAAGAAGCAGGAATATTGCATTCAAAGCACCCTGACAGATGGCCATCCAGCCTCTGTTTAAAAGCTTCCAAAGAAGGAGCCTCCACCACACTCTGGGGCAGAGAGTTCCACTGCTGAACGGCTCTCACAGTCAGGAAGTTCTTCCTCATGTTCAGATGGAATCTCCTCTCTTGTAGTTTGAAGCCATTGTTCCTTTGCGTCCTAGTCTCCAGGGAAGCAGAAAACAAGCTCGCTCCCTCCTCCTCCCTGTGGCTTCCTCTCACATATCTATACATGGCCATCATCATGTCTCCTATTAGCCTTCTCTTTCCAAGCAGGAGGAGACTGCAAGTGCTGGCAGAAAGACAAGGGGGATCCTGGGGGGTCTTTCCAGGCCTTATCACTGCTATAGAGTGACTCGGCTGTGCACCACATGTGTGTATGTGCGCCTGTCCCTCTTGGGCTGCCTGATAAACCTTCTCTCGGGGAGTTTGTGCAGAAGGCACCACTGCCTGGTCTTCAAGGCGTGGCCCCCTTCCCTTGGTGCTTCCTCTTCCCTTCCTCCTTTTGCTTGGGAAGAAACCAAGGCCAGGCTCTTTTTTCCCCTCAGGGGAGGGGGCTCCTTCCCTCGCTCTCTGCCTCACCTTTGGGCTGCCAAGGGGCAAAGCCTTCCACCTGGAGGACCCCCACCTGCCCACCTGCCCACCCACCCACTGCAGCAAACCAGTTGGAAAGGAAGGAGGGGGCTTCTCTAGACACATCTCCCTGGGCCCCTCCTTTGGCCACCTCCACGGCCTGGCTCCTTTGATGTGGGGAGGGGGCTGCTGAAGCCACGCCGGGCCGCCTCCTCCTCCTCCCCTCAGGGGAGGGGGCTCCTTCCCTCGCTCTCTGCCTCACCTTTGGGCTGCCAAGGGACAAAGCCTTCCGCCTTGAAGACCCCACATTCCCACCCAACCACCCAGCAAACCAGCTGGAAAGGAAGGAACCTGGACCCTCCTGTGGCCACCTCAATGGCCTGACTCCCTTGATGTGGGGAGGGGGCTGCAGGCCCTCCTCCTCCTCCATTGCTCCTCGCCCTTCCCTCTTGGCGCCTGCTGGCTGCAGATCCGGCATATTTGAGGGCAAAGAGTGGAAACACGAGGAGCCAGAGGAGGGAGAGGGGAGTGTTTCCATCCCAAATGGAAACTCTGAGGGAACCTGGTGGTCAGAGGGCTTTGTGGCCACAGGCAGGCTGCCCTGGGCCTTGGCAGGAGAAGCCCCGGCTCCCCGGCAGGACTGCTGTCCGCAGCACATTTGCAGGCGGTGAGCTCACCCCAGCCACATGGGCTCAGCACAGCCAGGCTTGACCCCAGGACTGGCCCAGAGAGGGGGCAGGAGCAGGGGGGGGGGGGGGGGGGGGGGGTGGTCTGCTAAGAGTCTCCTTATGGAGAGACAATCAGGGCAAACATCATCATCATCACCATCATCATCCTTCTCCCTTGTGTCTCCCTCTCTTGCCTCTGAAGGAGAGCTGTTTGCCCATGGAATGCCAGGCACCCAGCGCTGGAAGGGACCCCAAAGACCATCTAGTCAACCCCCTTCTTTCTGCCAGGCAGGAAGACACCCTCCAACCCCTCCCAACAGATGGCCATCCAGCCTCTGCTGAAAACCCTCCAGAGAATGGGACTCCCCTGGCCTCCCAAGCACTCTCAAGCAATAATAATAATGTATTGTCAAAGGCTTTCAAGGCTGGAATCACTAAGTTCTTGTGGGTTTTTTCGGGCTATATGGCCATGTTGCACTGCTCTGGAACATGGCCATATATTATGCCTCTAGAACATGGCCCTATAGCCTGAAAAAACCCACAAGAAATTAATAATAATAATAATAATAATAATAATAATAATAATAATAATAAT